TGGTAATAATCTCCTTGCTTTTCTCTTTAGATTTACCACTTTTATATGCATTCCTAAGCAACATAAATTCATTTTGCCTATTTTTGAACTTCATATACATGGAATCATATTGCATTTTTATGTGTCTTGATCCTTTTACTTAATGTTTTGTTTGTAATTACACATTGTTGAATATAGCTGTAGTTTGTTCTCTTTTATTAGAGTATTTCATTGTATGACTATATTATTTTACTTTTGATAGTTGTTTGGTTCTTTCCAGTCTGAGCCAGCTGTAAATAATGCCACTTTGAACATTCTTTTTTTTTAAACAAATTTATTTATTTATTTATTTTTGGCTGCATTTGGTCTTCGTTGCTGCACGTGGGCTTTTTCTAGTTGTGGTGAGCAGGGGCTACTCTTCATTGTGGTGTGCAGGCTTCTCATTGCGTTGACTTCTCTTGTTCAGGAGCATGGGCTCTAAGTGTGCAGGCTTCAGTAGCTGTGGCACGCGGGCTCAGCAGTTGTGGCTCGTGGGCTCTAGAGTGTAGGCTTAGTAGTTGTGGCTCACGGGCTTAGCTGCTCCACGGCATGTGGGATCTTCTCAAACCAGGGATCAAACCCATGTCCCCTGCATTGGCAGGCGGATTGTTAACCACTGCGGCACCAGGGAAGTCCCCACTTTGAACATTCTTGAACTTGTCTTTTGGTTCATGAATTCCCGTTGGATATACATTACCTTGAACCATGTGAAATTACCTTTTTTTTTCCCTGTGTCGTGCAGCTTGCAAATTCTTAGTTCCCTGACCAGGGATCGAACCTGTGCCTCCCTGCAGTGGAAGCGCAGAGTCCTAACCACTGGACTGCCAGGGAAGTCCCTGAAAGTGCCATTTTTGTGGATCAGTCACATATTAATGATTCCATATGGTTCATTGTAATACCTAGGAGTAGAATTGTTGGATCATAAGAATTGCATATGTTCAATTTTAGTAGATTCTGCCAAATAGTTTTCTAAAAATCTTGTACCAACTTAATCTCCCTCCAGCAACGTATAAGAATTGTCCCACATTCTGGCCTACATTTGGTATTGTAATTTTTCGTTGTAATTTTGATTTGCATTTCCTTGGTTACTCATGAGGTTGAGTACTGTTTCATTTGTTTTTGGCTGTTTAGATTTCTTCTTATGAAGTACCTATTCAAGTCATTTGCCTATTTTTCTGTTGAATGGTCCATTTTTGTCTTACTGATCGGCAGGTGTTCTTTATATATTCTAGATATGAATACTTGATTGTTAATGTGTCACATGTATCTTCATTCTGTGTCTCATCTCTTTACTCTCTTATCGGTGTCTTTGATGAACGGATATTCCCAATTTTAATGTAGTCAAATTTATTCATCTTTTTTTTATAGTTAATACTTTTTGTGTTTGTCTAAAATGACTTTTGCCATACGTAAGATTTTGACGATAGTCTGCCATATTATCTTCCAAGAGCTTTGTTTTTCACATTTAGTTCTGTAATCCATCTGAAGTTGATTTTTTTTACATTATCAATTTTTTTATTGATGTATAGTTGATTTACAACGTTGTATTAATTTCTGCTATACAGCAAAGTGATTCAGTTATATATAGATATAGATATATACACACATATTCTTTTTTATATTCTTTTCCACTATGGTTTACCATGGGATATTGAATATAGTTCTTTGTGCTATACAGTAGGACCTTGTTGTTTATTCATTGTGTACAGAGGTCCAATTTCATTTTTCCCCCAATGGATATCCAGTTGTCCCAGCACCAGTTAGTGAAGAGAGATACTCTCACCACTGCTCTGAGGTGTCACTTCTGTCATAGATCAGGGTCCAAATGTGCCTGTATCTGTTCCAGGCTCTGTTCTATTCAGTGGTCTGTTATATTTCTGCACTAATACCTCATTGTCTTAATTACTATAACTTTATAGTAAGTAAGTCCCCACCTTGTTCTTTTCTAAGAGTGCCTTGGCTATCCTTGTCCTTTTGCATTTCCATATACATTTTTAGACTCAGCTTGTCAAGTTTCATCAAAAAAGTCTGTTGGCATTTTTATTGAGATTGCATTTAATCTATCAATTTATTTAGAATTTACATCTTTATAATAGTGAGTTTTAAATCTAGAAATAAGGTTTATCTCTCCATGTAATAAGGTCTACTTTATTGTTTATCCAAAAATTTTTTGAGGTAAATTTCATATTTCAACAATATTTTATCATCAAATTTACCATTTTAATCATTTTTAGGTATACACTTCAGTTGCGTTAAGAACAGTTACGCTGTTGTGCAACCATCACCACTCTCTACCTCCAGAACTTTTTCAGTGGCTTTCAGTACATTCATAATGTTATACAACCACCAGCACTATCTAATTTCAGAGCATTTCATCATCCCCCACACCCCCCCAAAAAAACCCCATGTGCGTTAAGTTGTCACTCCTCCAATCCTTAGCAACCACTAATCTGCCTTCATGGATTTGCCTCTACTGGACATTTCATGTTAAGTGGAGTCACACAAAATATGGTCTTTTGTGTCTCATTTCTTTCACTCAGCACAATGTTTTCAAGGCTCATCTTTGTTGTAGTATGTACCCTTTTTAAGACTGAATAATATTCCATTGCATGTATATACCACATTTTGATTATATGAATATACCATATTATAAATTCATCAGTTGATAGACACTAGTCAATAAAATTCTATAATTCTTTATAGAGGACTTGCCCATATTTCGTTAGATTTATTCCAAGACACATGTTTTCAAATCCTTTTAAATGATATTTTTATAATGTAATTTGAAAATACATAATTTTTTAAAATGTAATTTAATATGTTGTTTACCACTGTTATATAGGAACATATGATGTTAATTTTACATTCTATAAATAGTTTAAAGTTTGATAAACTCTCTTAATCCCAAAAATTTATGTTGATTCTTTTGGATTTTATATATATCAATCATTGTGATGAATGAAGGACTTTTGTTTGTTTCTTTTCATTTCTTCTGCCATTTGTTTCTCCCTTGTATCTTACCCTGCTGACCAGAACCTCTAGTACAGTGTTGAATAGAGTAATGATAATAAGCAGCCTTGACTTATTCCTGATTCCAAAGGAAAAGCTTTCAACCCTTCACTGTTAAATATGAGATTTGCTATATTTCTATTCGTATTTCAAATGATTTTTATCTTAGCTGAAACCTGGATTTCTAGGACAAATCCTTTTTGGTTTTAATTTTTAAGAAACATTTAAATGAGCTCCTGAGGGTACTTCCCCTCTGATTCGGTCATTTTTGGCAGTCTTGATGTATGACTTTGGAAGTCACACTGACCTGAGTCCAAATATGGCTCTACTATAAACTCATGTGATTTTGGTTAGGATTATAAATCCTTTTAGGACAAGAACTGCATGCTATTTATTTAATTCTGTATTATTAGCTTTAACTTATTAATGCCTAGTACATTGTAGGGGCTTAATATAGATCTTGAAAAAAATGAAGTTATATAATTTGTCTCTGAGTCTTGGCTTCCTCATTTATAAAATAGGAATTAATAATCCCCTATAGGCCTTTATATAATGATTTAAAAAATAATATGTGTAACATAGTTGCATGTAAAAAATGCAACTTTCCTTTGAGATTTACTTTTCTTTAGCTGACTACATTAGTAATTAAGAGGGTTCTGGGATCCACTTTCTAATATTGAGTGTTGGGGGGTTCTCCACAGTAACAGCAATTCTCAGACACCATCTGGGTGTCTTACAACTCAACACAATTCTTACACTGTCTACTCAGAGATACCATCAGATTCCACAGATTGAGGGCTCAGTCCTACAAGACTGCCCCCTTCTCCTGCCTACTTCAGACGCCAATCTTAAGCCCAGGTTGTTACCTGTTTCTGACTGCCTGGCTACAGATTGGAGCCGTGACCCCCTCCTTGAACTTTAGGTGCTGGTTGTAAGTCCAGGTTGTTCCCTATACTCCTGACTGAATATAAAGCAGAGGTTCCCATGACCCTCTCCTTGTGTTTGATTAATTTGCTAGAGTGGCAAACACAGAGAAATATTTTACTTACTAGATTATTGGTTTATTATAAAAGGATATAATTCAGGAACAGCCAGATGGAAGAGATGAATAGGGCAAGGTATAGGGGAAGAGTGGGGATCTTCATGCCCTTTCCAGGTGCAGCACTCTTCCCGAATCTCCACGTGTTCACCAACCTGGAAGCTTTCTGAACTTGTCCTTTTAGGGTTTTATGGAGGCTTCATTACACAGGCATGATTGATTAAATCATTGGCCAATCTCCAGCCCCTCCCCCCTCCCCCAGTGACTGAAAGGTCCAACCTTCTTTTCACATGGTTAGTTCAACTGGTGACCAGCACCCCCTCCCAGCTTTACAGGATTTTCAAAAGTCACCTCATTAACATAAGTTCCGTTGCGGTTGAAAGGGGCTTGTTATGAATAACAAGACACCCCTTTCACCATTATGGCTTTGAAGGGATTTCAGGAACTGAGGACAAGAGACTGAATATTATAACAAAAGATGCTCCAGTTGCTCTCATGGCTTAGGAAATTACAAGGGTTTGGGGTGCTCTGAACCAGAAACATTGGAAGAAGACCAAAAAAAAATTTTATTATAAATCACAATATCACAGTAATGATTTCCATCTTTGGGTTTTTATTTAATCTCATAGAAACTTGTGTACTGTATTTTTTTGGGACTATCATTGATTTACAATATTGTGCTAGTTTCAGGTGCACAGCAAAGTGAACTTTGGTTGGGTGAGTGCATGTCTCACCCCTGCCCTCAGGAGCCTAAATAACACCCCCACACCCAGCACTCTTAGCTGGGTGAAGAGAGCACTGGTAACATTTTCTGAGGACTTAGATGTTTGTGCTTCTAAAACCCTGTGGGAATTCTTAGGATTACAGTTGATGTTTCTTACTCTGAAAGGACCTTTGCAATTACTGATGAAGAGTTGGCCTTTCTCTGTTGCAGATTGACATCAATAAATGCCATTATTTAGTGGATTTGGACACCGTGAGAGAAACACCCCGGGAGCCAAAATATTCATCCAATAGAGAAGAATGGATCAACTTGGCCTACAGACCATTCCTTGATGCATCTAGGTATGTGGCTTTAGTCCTAAGAAATGTACTAGGATTAGTAAGGGCAAAAATTGGAATCTGGGATTGAATAACTTCCAGTCCTGGGCTAACTCTAGTAGCCATTTAATTTTATTTTTATTTGGGCCCAAACATCTTCTGTTCTTGTCCAGTTCCCTGAGAAATCTAAAAGAGTGCTCTTCTTTTCTAGGCATCAGAGTGCAAAGTATATTCTGGTATCTTTCAAATAACAGAATCTAAACAGATAGATCCACTGAAGAAAACACAAATAAGTGTTTGATTATTTTTGGCAATCAACTTCAACTTTCTTAACCAAGAGTTTTCTAATACTGTTAGGAAGATTGACTATGTTCTTTAAGGAGCTAGAAGTTCATATCCGCATTATTTTTGGGCTCAAGGCTCAGTCAGAGATGGGGCCAGGCCTTACTAGATCTTAAGTAGTAGTGGCACCAAATAGACCAGTGCTTGGCTGGCTCTTCAGAAAAGCCTCAGAATTCATGATAAGAGTCAGGATATCCAGGTGAAGGAGTGGGGGAGAGTTAGAAAGGTGTAGGTTGTCTGTGGGCAGAGGTCCAGGTAGACAGACAGTTGAAGTTAAGGAGGTCCAGGGAGGCCTGGTGGGCAGAGCCCAGGATCCAAGAAATCAGGCAGAAACAAAAAGGTAGAGGACCAGGTCTTGAGAGGCAGGTTTGGGACTCAGAAACAGGGAAGAAAATATTTTCAGGAAGAGGGAGTGATTAGAACCTACTGATCAAGTCCGTTTGATTAATATAACAATTGTTCATTGGATTTGGCAGCTGATAAAAGCAATTTTAGTGGAATGGTGGGGGCATAGGGACTTGAGAGATTAGAGGGGTCAAAGCAAAACTAGCAGGGAGGAAGGAGGCAAGATGGCAGAGTAGAAGGACATGAGCTTACGCCTTCTTATGGAAACACCAAAAATCACAACTAACTGCTGAACAACCACTGACAAAAAAACACTGGAACCTACCAAAAAGGATAGCCTACATCCAAAGACACAGAAGAAGCCACAGCGAGATGGTAGGAGGGGTGCAATCGCAATAAAATCAAATCCCATACATGCCGAGTGGGCAACCCACAACCTGGAAAATAATTACACCACAGAAGTTCTCCCACAGGAGTGAAAGTTCTGAGCCCCCCATTGGGCTCCCCAGTCTCGGGGTCTGGCAACAGGAGGAGGAGCCCCCAGGTCTGACTTTGAAGGCCACTGGTGTTTGACCACAGGAATTCCACAGGACTGGTGGAAACAAACTTCACTCTTGGAGGGCACACTCTGGGTGTCATGCACACCAGGACCCTGGGAAAAAAGTGGTGACCTCATAAGAGACTGGGCCGGGTTTACCTGTTGGGGTTGGAGGGTCACCTGCAGAGGCAGGGGGCGGCTGTGGCTCACTGTGGGGACAGCGACAGTGGCGGCAGTGGCTCTGACAAGTGCTCATTGGCATGGGCCTTCTAGGAGGCTGCCATTTTCTCACCAAGACCTGACCCCACCCAACAGCCTGTAGGCTCCTGAGTGCTAGGATGCCTCAGGCCAACCAACCAACAGGGTGGGAACATAGCTTCACCCATTAGCAGACAGGCTGCTTAAAGTTTTTTTTTTTTAAAGATTTTTTTTTTTTGATGTGGACCATTTTTAAAGTCTTTATTGAATTTGTTACAATATTGATTCTGCTTTATGTTTTTTGGTTTTTTGGCCCCGAGGCATGTGGGATCTTAGCTCCCTGGCCAGGGATTGAACCTGCACCCCCTTCATTGGAAAGTGAAGTCTTAACCACTGGAGCGCCAGAGAAGTCCCTTAAAGTCTTCCTGAATAAACAGCTGCCCGATAATAAACACACCTCCCAGACATGGCCCTGCCCACCAGACGGACAAGACCCAGCACTATGCACCCAGTCCCTCCCACCAGGAAGACTGCACAAGCCTCTTAGACAGCCTCATCCACCAGGGGGCAGCCAGCAGAAGCAAGAAGAAATACAGTGCTGCAGCCTGCAGAACAGAAACCACAATCACAGAAAGTTAGACAAAATAAGATGGCAGAGGAATATGTCCCAGATGAAGGAACAAGATAAAACCCTAGAAGAACAACTAAGTAAAGTGGAGATAGGCAATCTACCTGAAAAAGGATTCAGAGTAATGATAGTAAAGATGATCCAAGATCTTGGAAAAATAATGGAGGCACAGATTGAGAAGATACAAGAAATGTTTCACAAAGACCTAGAAGAACTAAAGAACAAACAAACAGAGATGAACAATACAATAATTGAAATGAAAAATACACTAGAAGGAATCAGTGGCAGAGTAGCTGAGGCAGAAGAACGGTTAAGTGACCTGGAAGACAGAATGGTGGAAATCACTGCCATGGAACAGAATAAAGAAAAAGGACTGAAAAGAAATGAAGACAGCCTAAGAGACCTCTGGGACAACATTAAATGCACCAGCATTCGCATTATAGGGGTCCCAGAAGGAGAAGAGAAAAAGAAAGGGTCTGAGAAAATATTTAAAGAGATAATAGCTGAAAACTTTCTTAACATGGGAAAGGAAACAATCATCGAAGTCCAGGAAGTGCGGAGAGTCCCAGGCAGGATAAACACAAGGAGGAACACGCTGAGACACATATTAATCAAACTGACAAAAATTAAAGACAAAGAAAAAATATTAAAAGCAACAAGGGAAAAGCAACAAATAACGCACAAGGGAACTCCCATAAGGTTATCAGCTGATTTCTCAGCAGAAACTCTGCAGGCCAGAAGGGAGTGGCACGGTATGTTTAAAGTGATGAAAGGGAAGAACCTACAATCAAGAATACTCTTCCCAGCAAGGCTCTCATTCAGATTCAGTGGAGAAATCAAAAGGTTTATAGACAAGCAAAAGCTAAGAGAATTCAGCACCACCAGACCAGCTTTACAACAAATGCTAGAGGAACTTCTCTAGGCGGAAAACAAAGGCCACAACTAGAGACAAGAAAATTACAAATGGAAAAGCTTACCGGTAAAGGCAGACATACAGTAAAGTTAAGAAATCATCTGCACACAAATATATGAAAGCCAGCAGTTGTGAGGAGAGCACAAATGCAAGATACTGGAAATGCGTTTGATATTAAAAGACCAGCAACTTAAAACATTACACTGCTATACCAAAACCTCATGGTAACCACACACCAAAAATGTACAATGGATACACACGCAAAACAGAAAAAGGGATCTAAACACAACAGTAAAGTTAGTCATAAAATCAGAAGAGAAGAGAACAAAAGAGGAAGGGAAGAAACAAAGACCTACAAAACAAATCCAAAACAGTTAACAAAATGGCAATAAGAACATACATGTCAATAATTACCTTACACGTGAATGGATTAAATGCTCCAACCAAAAGACACAGACTGGCTGAATGGATACAAAAACAAGACCTGTATGTATGCTGTCTACAGGAGACCCACTTCAAATCAAGGGACACATACCAAAAGTGAGAGGATGGAAAAATGTATTCCATGCAAATGGAAATCAAAGGAAAGCTGGAGTAACAATATTCATATCAGACAAGGAACACTACATAATGATCAAGGGATCAGTCCAAAAAGAAGATATAACAATTGTAACTATATATGCTCCCAGTGTAGGAGCACTCAATATATAAGGCAAATGCTAACAACATTAAAGGGAGAAATCAACAGTAACACAATAATAGTGGGGGACTTTTTTTTTTTTTTTTTTTTTTTTTTTTGTTTATACGGGGGGTTCTTCTTTTTTTGTCCTCCCCCATTGCGGAGCGCAGGCTCCGGACGCTCAGGCTCAGCGGCCATGGCTCACGGGCCCAGCCGCTCCGAGGCATGTGGGATCTTCCAGGACCGGGGCACGAACCCGCGTCCCCTGCATCGGCAGGCGGACTCTCAACCACTGCGCCACCAGGGAAGCCCAATAGTGGGGGACTTTAACACCCTACTTTCATCAATGGACCAGATGGATTTAATTGATATTTATAGAGCATCCATCCAAAAGCAGCAGAATACACATTCTTTTCAAGTGCACATGGAACACTCTCCAGGATTGATCACATGCTGGGCCACAAAGTGAGACTTGGTAAATTTAAGAAAATTAAAATCATATCAAGCATCTTTTCTGACCAAACGCTATGAGATTAGAAGTCAATGACAAGGCAAAAACTGTAAAAAAACACGAACACTTGGAAGCTTAACAATATACAGCCAATCCAGCAGCCAGTGGATCACTGAAGAAATCAAAGAGGAAATCAGAAAATATCTAGATAAGGCTTCCCTGGTGGTGCAGTGGTTGAGAGTCCGCCTGCCGATGCAGGGGACACGGGTTCGTGCCCCGGTCCGGGAAGATCCCGCATGCCGTGGAGCGGCTGTGCCTGTGAGCCATGGCCGCTGAGCCTGTGCGTCCGGAACCTGTGCTCCACGATGGGAGAGGCCACAACAGTGAGAGGCCCGCATACCGCAAAAAAAAAAAAGAAAAGAAAAACCTAGATACCAAATGAAAATGAAAGCACGACGATAGAAAAACCTATGGCATGTAGCAAAAGCAGTTCTAAGAGGGAAGTTTATAGCAATACAGTTTTACCTCAGGAAACAAGAAAAATCTCAAACAACGAAACCTTACAACCTAAAGCAACTAGAGAAAGAAGAACAAACAAAGCCCAAAGTTAGTAGAAGGAAAGAAATCATAAAGGTAAGAGTAGAAATAAATGAAATAGACACAAAGAAAACAATAGAAAAGGTCAGTGTTTGATCATGGCCTTAAGTGGGTAGGGAGGGAGCGGGGAGGGCACTGAGGGAGTGGAAGACCATGACAGGTGGTAGGATCATGGCCTGATATTCAAAAAATTGTCAGAATCAGGGCAGTAGTAGGAGAGAGCTTGAAATTCTCTTTCAAGCAGGAGTGAAGGTATGAAGTTCTCTGCATCACACATATTCTTTGGTGCCTGACTTGTTTGATATAGTATTTGGGGGGCAGGTCGCTATTGTG